ACACAGAAAAGCCAAATAAAACAGATAACATAACAGATAATATTGAATTACCAAGTGAATGTTATGGTGGCAATTTCATCAAGTCAGGATAAACTATCAGAGATCCTTAAGTCAATGTAACCTGAGGTAGCCCATAAGTTAATTGGGCTTTAGGAAAGAGTGGAAGAATTATTCATCCAGATTGATTGAATCGATAGAGCTCATAAAGGCCTACGTTTAAATTTCCACTGCTTCCACGAGGAGAAATTAAGGAAATTCTGAAAATTCAGAAAGGACTAGACAGTACTTAGGAAATGGACATTCGTTAAAAAGGCTTAGCCTTGAATATGCAACCAATCTGAATTATTTTCCAATCGCTCATTTTAAAGTGCCAATATAAAGAAAAGACCAGCATCTATTTTGAATACCCACACAGATAACCACATGAACACCCACTTGATAATATCCTCCAAATACCACCATAATTATCATTTCCGGAGGGACATTTGGTCTGGACCCGCTCTTTATGTAACTATTTCCACATGACAAGTAACAGTAGGTTCTGCTCAATTATCAACTGATTTATAAATTTGTTATTTCCTCTGAAATCTTCATCAATCGTAGGCGTCTTTTACGATTCAGAGGTTTTACTAAATGAATCCAGTGGAGTTTCTTGTGTACATTGAAAAACGGGAAAAACAATTCTAAGTGATCATTAATTTCATCTATTAATAGAACCTATTTCATCGTGAAAGGTCCAATCAATTGTTAATTAGAGGTTAAATCAATCTACCTGATAACCTACAGATAATCAGACAGAAGGGAAAAAAACTATTAAACACCAAGAGTTATCAAAAAAGTTCAGGTTAATCTGAGTAAACACCAAGAAGGAAGCAAAAAAAAAAGTTAAACCATGATTATGATTGTAAGATTAACTATTATCATGGTAGTATTATCACATTATATTACCATGGGTGGTTGTTGTTGTTCATCATTCACGGTTAATATTTAAGCTTAGAACTTTTTTCTCTCTCATTCAATATAAATTCGATGAAAAAAGTTCTAAATCCGTTTAAAGTTTTTTCCTTACCCTTTTTTTCATCAATATTTTACCTCAACTTTTCATCAACGATATCAAACTGATCAATGATAATGATTAAGAAATTCAATAAGCTTTCAGGTCTCATTGAAACATATTAATTTATTTGATTGATAATCAGTGTGTTAACAATTATTTCAATTGCTAATGGAAACTGATCAGCTGATGAAATGTTTTCGCTCAGACAAATTACTAAATAATAGGAATGATAATTTCGATGATTTAAAAGGGAAGGAAATAGTTCAGACTAAACAGAATTGAAAAGAAATTGGAACTTTGATTTGAAATGATTAATCTTGATTCCAATTCGATTGCAATTTGATTTTTAATTGAATATTAGTAACAATCTATCGGTAGTAATGTGGTATTTGATATGATAACCAGTATGACGATATAAGAAATGAGATATTCAATAAGTTGAAAAGTTTGATTGATTAAACTTTAAGATTCATATTCTGAATTTTTGGTCATCATGTTTCATGACGATACTGATTAAAGTCAAAAGTTTCTTAAGTGCAAGTTGAAAGCAATTATTGACTATTTGATTAGCTCAGAAAGTGACTAGAAGATAATTTGATTTGACCAATAAGAATGTGATAATCTTCATTAAAAATGACATAATATTGACACAGAATCATATATATGGATAATGATAACAGTATATTAGTCACTTAATAAGTTTTATCATCATTAACCTTTAAGTAAATAGATATTGATCCAGTTGAGTGTTAATAATGGATAAAGATAAAAACAAAAATGATACAAAGTATTAATATTAACCAAGTAAAATGTTTACACACAATAAAATTTTATCGTAAAATATTAAGATACATTTTTATCCTGAAAATGAAACAAAATTTTAACAGATAATTACTCACAATTCAATAGGGTAAACATGAAAAGATTTAAGTTCTTGAATTTTGTTATTGATAAAACATTGAGAAAATCTGATAATCTTCAACAGAGAACCTACCAAGTAAAATGCTTAGAAAATGTAAAAACTTCTCTTTAAATTTGGAGAAAAATATTTACAAACATATTACTAATCAATTATCTCCATTATCTTTTAATATTGTTTACTGTGAATCGAGTATTAGATTAGAAGATTGAAATGAAAGCATTCAGCTTAGAATATGGTGTCAAAGTTTAAAGAAGGGGACACTTAAGACAAAGGTTAAGGTAAGAATGGAACCAAAAGAATCTTGTTTATATGTGATGAAGAGAAGAGAAGAGAAAAACAAGAAAAATGTTAAAATTTCGAGTAAAATGTTGACGAAATAAAATGAATACAGAATAAACATACTTAAGAATCTGTTGTATTGATAATATTGATTTATATGATTGTCAGAGTAAATAGTGAATCTCAGTCTTAATACAACAAAAAGGGTTCATTCTTGTTATTCAATCATTTTCATCTCTTGTATTCAATTAATACTCCTTCATGTTCAGTGATTCTGTGTGTTGATTGTAATGTCAATATAATGTCATTCAACATGAAAGTATATATATTTTGTTATACAGAGTATCTAATACAAAAGCCACAGAATTGCAGTAACCAAGTATTCAGAATAATGTTAATATTAAGATAAATCGATTATCATTTACTGATGAATTCTTAATTTAGTTGAAAGTTGAGATTCTTTAAAATCTTGTAACGATTTTGATCACGTTTCTGAACTTTCCAAGATTCTGTTTGGATTTCATCTTCTAATATAACAAGAATAAGTGATGAATATGATGAAAATTTGTTCTCATGGTGAATTCTTGACATCACTGGTCAGTTGCTTATGATTTACATTATTTATCAATATCTGTCTGCTCTCTCTCTCTCTCTCTCTCTCTCTCTCTCTCTCTCTCTGGTCAAGGAAGATGAATGATCATAAGGTTCGTTGTTGCTTCTGAATGTCAAATGAAAACAATTCCTTGGGAATTTTATAGCGGGGAGAAAATTCAATATCTCTTATTCACCTTAACCTGAACAAAAGTTCATTTCAATTCTGAAAAAATTTCACTCTGTCTTTTTCATTTTCTCTGTTTGATATTAATACACCAAAGGTATTAAATGTGACAGGGAAAAAAGTTCTGTCGCTAAATGTCAAGTTAAATTATTTCTGTTTACTTATATCTCATTTCTTGGTACATATATAAGAGGAAATAATAATAGTAATGATAACTGTTTTGTCTTATTTTTTTATTATTATCATTTTATTTCAAGTATTCTGATCTTATATAATAACAACGGAAGAAATAAAAACCTTCCAGAAACAAATACGCTGTGAACAAGCAAAAACATTGAACTCGACAAAAAAGTAAACATTTTCCTTGGTTCATTTGCTATTTTTTCCCCTTACTATTTACTTGGAATCGTCATCTTTATCATCATAATCATCATCAAATTGTGTACTACTCAAGGGCAAAGATGATTATGATGATTGAGAAACAATAAAGAAATTGTTGTGAGATGTTTTGAAATAACAGAGAGAGAAAAAAATTGTGTTAACTTTTCGCTTTGAATGTTTGCATTTGTCATGACACAGAATCAAATTATTACTCTTATGTCAATGATGGAGTTTGAAATTCATGATGAAAAGACACTCAGCTTCAATTTCCTCATCTTTTCCCTGTTTCATCATTGAATTTCACTTGTAAGGAATAACAACTTTCTCTCTCGTTCTCTCTCTTCCGCATCATCATTGTCTAATCTTTTCCTGATTGACATGATTCTTAGATCATAATATTTATATTCCCTCAGAAGGCATGAATTCAGTTGAAGAGATAAAAGTGAAAAAAAGGCAACGAATAGAAAAAAAGTTGATCAACTGAAAAAGATTTTTATCAACATTTTCCTCAGAATATAATAAGCAATTTGGTTCATTTTCGCGTCAATATTTCACCTTTTTCAGTCTTCTCAGTGTATTCATCGCAATCTCTTGATTAGAATTTTTCTCCAAAGAAATTGAATCGAGAAGAAGATAGAATAGAATAGAAAATAGAGACAGAAAAAGAGAGAATCAACATTTTCTTCATCTGATAACATGCATAATACAGATAAATAGGCATAAGCATTTACACCTTTTCAGCTGAATGTTATTCTCTTTGATGATATATTCATCTACATTTACTTTCTCTTTGATCATCTTAGATGATAAACCTAATTCTATGATAGTATACAACTAAAATACTATTGAAAGTGTAAGTGAAAAAAAAAGAAATGAGAGAATGTGAATTCTGTAATAAGAGTATTCAGAATGAACAGAGAATTTACTTTTCTTTTCTTTTCTCTCATCCTTTTTGCCAGTATCTTCATCGTTTTTCCTTCCTCTCTTTCATCAGATTAGAGATACTTTCATCTTCGTAAGATTAACATGGTCAAAAGGATATATATCTATTGTCATAGTTTCTCAACTTTTACCAAGGAAAATGTGATATTCCTTATGCTTAAAGTTGGAAAACATTTTCCTTATTATTATTTTATTTTTACTCGAGTAAAAATTTCATAACATGTTTTTTTTTCCTTTGGTCTTTTCTTTTTCATTTGGTATGAAATATAATCATATACCCATGAATACCCACCAGTCATATTTTTCTTATCAAATCATCAAAAATACAACCAAGCTAAATGTTTCGTTTCTAAACAATATGGTAATTGTATCACAATTGAAATTGAAATTGAATTCATATATATTATATTTACATCTCTATAATATATAAATCAACAGGATAAAATAACGACAAAAGATATTTGCTGTCCAAAGAAAATGTCAAAACTTTTATCTTGAGAATTAAATTATTTCAACAAATGGAGTGTAAATAATTGAGTATTCAGATAGAGAGAGAGAGAGAGAATTGAACATTCACTTTAACATTTATTATTATTCGTACGAAATTGTTTACTATTGACAATATTGATTAGTTAACTTACTTTGACAAGGAAAAATGTTGTAAATATTTCAGGTTCAATAGTCACCTAATTGTTGCTTATTATCAACTTATTATATTCCCAGTGAGCATGTAATTATACGTAATGATGATAAATTGTTATTGTTTCAACTGTAAAGTAAATTGTTGATAATAATAACAATAATAAACTTATAATCACTTGTTGTCTTTATTTTTTTTTACACAACTTTTTGTTTTCTCTCAAAGTTCCGAGAGAAATGTTAATATTCAAAAATAGGAAAAGGTGAATCTATGATATCGGTTAACTTGATGGACCATAAATAGTTAGTAACTTTTGAAATTTTCCTTTCGATGACAATATATTCACACAAACATATATATATGAGATAGTTGACAAAGAATACACAAATATTTAGATTAATATTAGATGAAGATTGAAAATAAGTATGGAAATGATGACGATGAGAATGCTGATTATTGAATAGATAAACAATATTAACTGACAGAACTCACTGATCGTGTAAGTAAAGTGGTTAAAAGAGTTGCTGTTAGTGTAATAAGATGATGAACAAAAATGAGATTTTAGTTTTTTTCCTCCAATTTTTGTATCCAATGTGAGTGTGGGTATTGGTGGGTATGCGCAAGAATAGAGTATATGCATTTTAGTAGTTAGACAAAGACCGGTTCTGACACAAGTGTCCATACTAGCACAAAGTGTCCATACTAACACAGGGGTTTCTAGCACAAGTGTCCATACTGGCACAGAAGTGTCCATACTGGACCAAACTTTTGGAGGGAAATTCAAACATTTTTCTGCAAATAATACCAACATTCGGTGACCTTATTTCAGGTCAATTTTTACCGGAACTTCAAATTTATTATAAAAAGATTCTAAGACAAATGAGGGTTCTAGGACAACTTTTAGCGGGAAATTCAAATTTTTAAATCAATATTTAGTGTACTCTGGACCAAAGTGTCCATACTGGACCAGGTTTTTACCGGGAACTTCAAATTTATTATAAAAAGATTCTAAGACAAATGAGGGTTCTAGGACAACTTTTAGGCGGGAAATTCAAATTTTTTAAAACAGTATAAAAGAGGATGAGCTGACGGTAGTCAGCTCATTCGATACGATGAAACATAACATGATTTTACGAATCATCATTTTCATAATTATAACAGTCATTTTACTACTAATATTCCGTGCAATATTTTTTGATAATATCAAATATGACCAAATCAATCTGGCCTGATTATCGGATTGATAATATAGTTTCAATATGGTCCATAGGACCAATAGATATCAAAGTCGATAATACAAATCGAAAGAAAAAATTCAATGCTCAAGTTATACGAACTGATAATGGTGTGCTGCTGGTTTTTGCATCAGGAAAAATTACAGCAACTGGATTCAAAAGTTTACCTATGACTATTCTGACATTAATGGCAACGTTCCCTGATCGTGAAATAACATTCATTAGAATATCTAATATAACAGCATCAAGTTATAATTCAGTTAGATTCAATACTGAAAAACTGAAACAATATACGATTAAATTATTAACAGGATATCTCATATACATGGAAGCTAGTAGTTTATTAAACTCACACGAGATGGAGCCACTTGTCACCGACAGATGGCACCACTTCCGTAGTACTTTTCCTTTTATCAATAGATGGCGACACTTTCTAATAAACTTACTTTTCTTACCAGAAGATGGCAGCACTTCTGATGATTTTCATTTATCATCATTTATCTTCCAAACGGATGATAATTTTTTTATTCTATTCACAAATAAATGTTCAGAAAACTCATGTCTTCATGATGAGCTTGCAAAGTTCATTCAGAATATCATGAATTTTGTGTAAATTGAATTCTTATGTTCTCAGACGTAACTATTGTTGTGCAACTACAAGTATATATAAAGGAAGGGTTTCAATGTAAAATCAAGTATTCCTTGTCTTGATGTTAGATCGAAAAGATCCTGAATAGGCATAGAGAATACCTTTAGGGACTGTTAGGTTTACTTACTGCTGATACCATTAAACGATACCTGCTATTTGATACCTGATACCTGATTATCCTGTTTAAGTATTTGAGTTCCTGTTATTTTGGCCATCAATCATGGTATTCATTTGTCCCTGTTGTGACTCAATTTTTCAACTATTGGGTGATTACCTTTCACATACCTGCAACTGTAATTATTCTTCGTGTAGAATGATGGATACCTTCACTGGTCCACCAACTAAACGACAACGAACTTCAGACCAACAACAATCATCACAATCAACCTGCTCCAGTGACTGCTCTCTATGTTCTGAAGCATTGAGAAATATTCACCGAACTCCTGAACAAATTTCACCAGAACCTCCAGAGCTTTTTCCAGATCCACCGATACGAGTTGAACCTGAAGAGATTGTACTATCTAGTCAATCTACAATAGAAATATCTTCTGACGAAGAAGATGAACATCAATTGGACCCTAATATTAATCGACCATCCGTTATCCAATTTGCTCCGAGAATCGATCAAGGTACTTCACCAATTCACTTTTCAACTGCACCATCACCTGCACCATTACCTGAACCATCACCTGAACCAGAACCTGTACCATCACCTGTTCCATCGACATCACGAGTGCCATCAAATATGCAAATTGGTACTGGTATTTCTTTATCGTGTGAAAAGTGTGGGAAGACGTATACAAGACCAAAGTATCTAGAAAACCATTCACGAGTATGTGGTTTATCCATTACTTTTGACCATCCCGAAAATGCTCCTAATCAATATGCTTCATTCAAGCTTATCAACTCAGCTTTCAAGAGATATCTGGTCCAATATCGTGCATCAGATATTGAATCTCCTGATATAAGTGAAGTTATAAAGACAAAATTTGATGAAATCAAATCTCTTCTCAACATTTTGATTGATGAATTCGGTGCTATTAAATTCAGTATCGGTGTAGTTGTTGAGTTCGAAAACCAAATCAATGGAAAAACCGATAAAGGAGGATTTGAGTCTGACTTAACACCATGTTTAGCTGGCACAGATAAGGATACTATAATTAACGATACATTAGAGTTTATGTGTGATCGTATTGATCAATTTACTCAACGAGGTTCTGGTTGGACTATTAAGAAAGTCTTATTTCTTGACTTGTTTGCTGGTAAATTCAAACCGTTTCTTGGTGGATGTCAACATGATCAGCTTCCATCATTCATTAAAAACAAAAAATGTTTGATTTCTCCTTTGACAGACAATGATTGTTTCATGTATTCAGTGCTCATTGGTCTTCACAAATCAAGTAAAAACTGTGGGCGAATTAGCAGTTATACACAATATATAAAACAGTATGACTTCTCTGATGTTCGTGGTATCGTTCCTATCGACAACATTGAAAGATTTCAAAGAAAAAACAACATTTCCGTCAACGTATATACTTGCTATCCAGATAGCAAAGCTGTTGTTCCTCTCAAAATCTGTGATCTAGAAAAGGAAAAACACGTAGATCTGTTTTTGTATAATCAACATTATTATACAATTGCACATTTCAATAGATTAGCATCACATAATGATAAAAGAGCAAGACACTTCTGTAAACGTTGTTTTTGTTCGTTCCGAACAAAAGAAAGATTGTTGTTTCATACAAATGAATGTCAAAAAACGACTGCACAAAGACTGGTCTTACCTGATGTCAATAACTCAACTCTCAAAAGGAATCAATACCGTAAAGAGGTCCAGTTTCCAGTTAGTATTTATGCTGACTTTGAAACCTTGAATGTCAAAAACTCGAGTACACCTGATGCAGTCAGTGACTTAGTCCCTTGTAGTTACGGGTTAGTAGCTGTTGATTGGAACGGTGTTATTATCTGTAGTGATTTTTATCTTGGTGATGATGCAGGTAAAAAGTTCTTGGAAAAAATCATCAGTTTAGAACCTTTCATCCGTCAACATATTGCTGCTAACATCAAACCACTCTCGTTAACTTACGACGAAGAAAAACAATTCAAAGAAGCAACCGTGTGTCATATTTGCACCAAACCATTAGGATCTGAGATTCGTGTTCGTGATCATGATCATCTCACTGGTAAATTTAGGGGTGCAGCTCATCAACCCTGTAATCTAGAGTATCAAGTTCCAGTACAAATTCCAGTTGTTTTTCATAACTTGAAAAACTTTGATGGTCACATAATCATCAAAGCTCTTGACTCATCAATGTTCAAAGATAAACCTCAAATTATTGCTCATTCAACTGAAAAATTCATTGGTTTCATCATTGACAATTTCAAGTTCATGGATAGTTTTGCTTTCCTCTCAGCAAGTTTGGATGCTCTATCAGCAAATTTAACAACTGATGATAAATTATTGTATCTGAACCAAATATTTACAGGTGATTTATCACTCCTTATGAAGAAAGGGTGCTTACCATATGAGTATCTGGATTCAATGGAGAGGTTTGAGGAGACATTACCACCAAAGGATAAATTCTATTCCAATCTAACCGAGTCATCAATTTCAGAAGAGGTTTACAATCATGTGAAAGACGTTTGGACCAATTTCAATTGTACATCATTGAGATCTCCATGACATATACCTTAAAACTGATGTCGTACTATTAGCTGCAGTATTTGAAAATTTCCGAAAGATGTCAATTAAAAGTTTCGGTATTGATCCACTTCATCATTTTTCATCACCTGGTCTCACATGGGCTGCAGCTTTAAAAACAACATCAATTGAACTTCAGATTTTTCTGATGTTGATATGTTGCTGATGATCGAATCAGGTATCCGAGGTGGTTTGACTATGGTTAGTCAGAGATATGCAAGAGCTAATGACCCTGAATTACCCAATTACAACCCAGAAGAACCAATAAGTAAAATGTTATACTTGGACGTCAATAACCTTTATGGTTATGCCATGTCTCAGTACTTACCTGTGGATGGTTTTGAATGGTGTGACGTACCATTAGAGATCGTTTTAAACACACCAGGTCCAGGAAGTGTTGGTTATATACTCGAAGTTGATCTCGAGTATCCATCTGAACTTCACGATTCTCATTCAGACTTTCCTTTACTTCCACAAAAATTGAAAATCGATCCTTCAATGTATAGTAACTACCAGCAAGAATTACATACAAAGCTTCGTAATCAAGGAGTCAAATCATTACCATCGATTAAACTTGTCACTACATTTTTGAAGAAAACAAAATATGTAATCCATTATGAAGCTCTCAAATATTACGTTCAGCTTGGAATCAAAGTCAACAAAGTCCACCGTACTATCAAATTCAATCAATCACCATGGTTAGAAGGATATGTTGATTTTTGTACATTGAATCGTCAGAAAGCAACAACAGATTTTGAAAAAGATTTCTGGAAATTGTTAGTTAATTCAATTTACGGCAAGACGATCGAGGATAAGAGAAAGCATGTGAAGGTCGAGATTGCACTGAAAGATATAGAAGCTGAACGGACGATGAGGAAGAATCTGGTAAAAAAGTTCATCATTCTTGATGAGAATAAAGTGATTTTCCAGATGAAAAATAGTTCCGTAAAAATGGATAAACCAATAGCCGTG